CTAGTCAAGAAATTCCTCGCCTTTTATAGAATCCGAAGGGCTATGATAATTTTTTAGAAGAATATGCCATTGAACTCTATCCTCAGGCAGATAAATCCGGTTTAGACCACTACAATTTGTTTCTTTGAGAATTTATTCTATCATCATCTTCTAGGTCTTCTAAGTAGTCTCTTATTTTATAATATTTCTAGACTAAAATTGTGTATGCATTTCTGCTACAATGTAAAAGTGGCCAAAGATTTGTGTGGGTTACAAAGCCTTACGTCGAATAAACTAGGTAAAATTCCAGAATAAAAAAAAACCCTACATGGAACATATTAACGACACACAGACGTGGTTTGAAATTTCGTGTAGATTTGTTGTTATTGTTTTATAATTCGGAAAAAACTTTGTTAAGTATTCACTACAAGGATTCACCAGCCTGACACACAGACGTGGTTTGAAATTTCGTGTAGATTTGTTGTTATTGTTTTATAATTCGGAAAAAACTTTGTTAAGTATTCACTACAAGGATTCACCAGCCAGACGGCCACAATTGACATTGTAATATTATCCTTCTTATTTGTAGTGTTCTGTCTGACGACAGGTCCATATGAACAGAATCCTTCCATCCTTTTCTCGGACTGGGACCTGTTCATATACGTTCTTGGCAGATGATCCAGAAGTGGTTTGCCATTGCCTTCTTCTGTGTGTGAATGGAGTAATTGTTGGGATGCCACGGAAAAACCGGGGAAGCCCCCGGAGGAAAACTCCGTGTTGCCTAGACCACGGTCTTGCCCAACACAAGTTATAAATTCGGGCACCGCCGGGAATCGAACCCGAGAGCCCAGGATTACAAGGCCAGCGTTCTAACCGCTAGACCACCGTGGCAGGCATTATCCTTCTACGTTCATTAAAATATAATATTAAAATGCTGATATGCCGATAAATGTGGAACTATAATATAGGTTTTGTGGGGAAATTTTAGTTCTTTATTTTTTATTCTGGTAAGTGAAATAAAGTTATGGGTTTATATGTTAACAGTCCGTTCTTCGTTCCTTTTTCGAAATTATTTGTGGCGAGGCCTGTACTTTTAGAATGTACTCTATGTAATGGAATGTCTCGGAGTCAGAGGTGTGATCTGTTATCAAGGATACCTAAAGGAACTCTTCATCCATTAAATGAACTTCTTGCTTAGAGCAGCATTGTGCTGTTCCGCTAGGCGTGTCCATGTACTTCCATGATGTTGTCCTATCAAAACCAGAACTTCTTTTGGGTCCTCGTTCTCTTTTCTATGGGGACGAATAAATAAGGCGCGGAAAAGATTTCTTTTGTTTGTGAAGTGGTGAAGAGAGTAGAAGAGCGACGAATGTCGTTTGAAATTTCCGGGTGTAGACTGCAAAATAGAAGATTCAGGAAAGAGGTAAAGAAAATGAAGACGAAAAATACGAATCGCCCAGTAAATCCAACCGCTGACATCGTTTCGATTTCGCGTTTCTCTCTCAAGAGTTGAATCATTGTACACAAGGCTGACAACACGAACTTCGTTCTACCATATTTCCTTTGCCCTCTTCACACGTTGTGTGCAGTATAGCCTTTTCTATGAGCCCTCTGTCTACAGGGAAAACAGCCAGGTGGCGCTTCAAGTTAGCGAGAAAAAAAATTCCTCTCTTTTCTTAGTTTAGTGCAGTTTAAATAATAAACAAAATATAAACTGCGTAAATTTACTCGAGTATCTTAGAAAAATAATCTCGAAGATTAAAACAGTGAATAATTAAGATAAAATGCACTGAACGAGTAATTATACTGCGTACTGTAATAAGCTTTCATGAAAATTAAAACCTGCCACAAGTTAAAAAATTGTTTATCATACATCTTACTTGTATCAGTTATTTTGTGCGATTACGAAACGTGGTTACAGAATTAAGACGGCAATGAATCTCGTGTTATGAATTTCATTCAAATAATGTGGTTCGATAATGAAGACCATATAACTCATAATTTTTTTAAAATAAAAATTGTAACAAGATTTTATAAATTATAATATAATCAGTGTTAGTTTGTTAAAAATAAAATTCTCATGGTTGCACAAAGTTACATTCCTTAATCTGTCAGAACGACAGAATACTTGAGCAACTGACATAACTTCGACTGTTTCCTGACGAATCTGGCACAATCTTCACGTCTGCAAGAAATTTGGGTTTAACATTGCCCGGTTATCAAATTTTCTGTGGTTAATATCATTGGGATTTACGTGGACTGTAATTGTACACGTCTGGCATAGATTATAAACAACAGAGACTATAGTTATGTACAAGAGTAATATAAATCTGGCCTCCTGTGGGAAATTTCACCTGATGTCGACACACGTTTCACACGTTGAGGAAATTGGTTAAATCCCTTCTATGACCCATTCCGGTAGTTCAGATACATTATTATGAGAAATAACACATGATTATAATTGCAGAACCTTATATAAATAATAATGTTAAGAACCAGTAATTTTATGGAGAATTAAAAAGCTTGGGTTGTTTTATGTATTTCAGATTCAGATACTAGCTCGAGGGGCATATATTCCTCTATAAATAAGCTCTGAAGAATTAAACATGATTACACTTCTGCTTAAACGAATGTGCCTTCACAATTTAAAATACACTTCACTTCAACTTTATTTTATGCATTGACGTTTACAGAATAATCGTTCTTTGACTGTTTTAATTGAAAATATATGATCTCAGATGCATTTTATTGTTTATTAAATTAAAATGTTCTTATAAGTTAAGACTAGAGTAATTTTTATATTCAACTAATTCACAATAAGAATAATATCTACTCGGATTTGTTTTACGCCGTTAATAAATATAGAAAATGTATAATGTATAAAGTTATTTTGAACGAAAATCTTACTCATCTTTCGTAATGCATGTTTCTATAAGAATACAATCTCGTAGCGAAAGGTAAATTCAGAAATTTTTATCACCTGTTATCGAGTTTGCTAAAGTTTTTAGAAGTTATATGACTTAACGTTTCAGAAACGTACGTTTAAGACCCACCATCTTCAGTTCAATTCAATCTTGTTGCCATAAGTAATCGCGTTCGGTTTCCAACTTTGTTTTCAATATTAAAAAAAATTTCAATTACGTATTTTGGTAATTAAGTGAAATGCAGAGACATAGGAAGGCCGATTGTCGGTCAGTGTGTCCCAGACTGCAGCGCGGCGAAGAATGCGCGATACTGCGTGCTGCTCGTTGCCATGACAACGCTCCAGGGTTGCTGGATGTTTAGGGAGGCGGGGTCCAGCATCACTAGAGATCCCAGCGCTGGTTCAGTGATCTGACAGACACTCTGTTCTGTACTAGACTTGTCGGCCACAAGGCAGACCAATAAAGCGGATCGAGAGGTAGGGCGGCTTTAAATCTCTAACAACCCACGGGAACGCCGAAACTCATCTTACAAAGAAACGAACCGCTGTACTTTCTTGTAACCCACGTTTCACGGTTTGTCTGTCGAAATCGAAATCAAAGTCGGTTTAAAGTAATACACGTCAAAAATTATTTATAATCTAGAAATTAAATATTAATTTTTTTCCCTTTTTTTGGATATGGCAGTGCAAAATGCTGTTTGTGATTTCTGCTTCTTTACAGTTTGAACAAAAGTAATTTAGTAAATATAATTACACACAGAAAAAAAAACATACGTAAAATTCTTCCAACTTGAGAGCGTCTGAAATTTTAATTAAACTAACAAAGTAGTCACTGTTAATAACGTAAAGTAAATTTTACCGGAATGAGAGCAGTTTAAATTGAAAACAGTGATATCCTTTGATTTTAGTCAAGACACTTTATCCATAACAAATCGTAACTTGCACTAGATTTTCGGAGAACTGTCAATGTCTTTGAGAAGTGTGACCTGAGGTGGAGACGTGTTTTAATATCGAGATATTTCATAATCGAGTAAAGTCCGATAACTAGGAATGTGTATTACTTTATTGTAATCGTAACTAACAAGACGTTTCGAGTCGAACGGAGCAAATTTCGACAGGAACAATAGGGGGGACAATGTGCTGTGTCCAGGCGGAACGTGTGTTCCCGGCCTCCGACAGTGAGGACGGCGACGATTCGAATCGGACTCCCCAGTTGTTTCGACCTCCTCGCGGGCAATCATCAAGGTCTTGTCCACCACCGCGCGACCTACCCATTGAATCGCAATGGGCCGCAGGTCTGGGTGGTGGCATGGGACTAGATCACTTTCACAGCCACCATCACCATCATCATCATCACCATCTTTATCACCATCAACAACATCTGCATCACCAACGAGGATCGTCGACGAGATGTCAACATTTTATACCAGCTCGAAGATCTTTTTCGTCATCTCTTGTCGCTGATCTTAGGGCTGTAGGGCCTGGGCCGACACTGGAAGGATGCGAGCTATTGGTAAGTGTGCCGTGGGCATTGTAACGACTCGTACTGGCTTCTGAATAAATAATATACCTATTCAGTGACTCGCTCCAGTAACTCGTATTCCACTAAACCTGTGTGAATAATTTATTGGTCTTGTGCGTTCTTTTACGAAAATTGTGTAGCTGATCAAATTATTCTGTTTTGCAAGCTTGTTATTTGGTGTATTTCTACCCTTCGTAGGGTGTGTGTGGAACTTTCAATTTTAGTTTGGCTTTACATTAAAGCATGATACAATCCGTATTTAAAGCGTGACGTAGTCAGATCTAAATTTCGTAATGTTTTAGAGAGAATTCAGATGCAAAAATTTGGCTATCGATATCTCTCTGTTTCAGGTAAAAATCTTATCGATGAAGCTTCAAGTTGTGAAAGTCTTCCTACCTAGTTGTATAAACTTAATTTCAGTTATTTAGTACACTAATATTTTCTAACTTTATTGGAAATATTAATATTTTAAAAGAGATAAATTGAAATGTTTTCATTTAACGAGTAAAACTGAGAGAGTTATTAAATATGCTATTTCAGTATATAAATCCCTTGGTCTAATAAAATTTAAATGGGCAGATTTGTGACACGTAATAGCTATTTGTGTTGAATAACGTTATTAATTTAATAATGGTACAATAATTAAATAATAAATACATCCGCGTGTGTAATTATATTGGAAATGAATACGGATGATTCTGAAATACTTTAACACATTTAAATTCGATGGAAAACAATTTAAATTAACATATCCTTACATATTTATGACACGTTGGGATCAGAGAAGAGTGTCTCTTCATTTCTACAAGTGTCCATTGTGAGTTGACGGACGCTCTGCTAAAAATGGGTGGTGTAATTCGGTGTAATGATTACGTAATTGAATCGTTGCAGCCCACACGTTGGTGCTAAGACCTAAACCCAGTGTCTTTTATTATTTAAATCTAACTTCATGGACCAGAATCCTGTTTGAGCAGCGGCAGTGAATTTCTTGATTAGCCGAGCTACTTTTAGCTTCTCAAGAATGACTGTGCTATATAGAGTTAGCTTAAATCTCTAGTTAAGTGTCTATATAACTTTGATAACCTCTGAAAGTTTGTAAGCAATCTATATGCGTTACATTTCAAGGCGAAGGTACCTTTCCAAGCTTTACTATGAAACAGGCCACCAGACCACATTGTTCCAAGTGTTGGAACCGAGGTCATTTTTGGAACACATTGTTTCGCAGGCAGTTATTCAAACAATTGAAGAAGTGCTGATGTGACGTGTTGAAATACATTGCTGCAACAGTTGAAATCGGGTAATTGTCGAGAGAATTTTTTACAAATGGGAACCTAGATCACTGTTGGCTCACAACAGTGACATCAGATCATTGTATAACAGTAAACTTGGGTATTGTTTTTGCCTTTTTCGAAGTCCACTGTTTCTTTGTGCAGTGGTTGTCAAGGAAGGAACGTGCTAACGTCACCGCCCATGTTGTGGAGAACGCCTTTGGAATTCTGTACGCTCCAAGGAGCACACATTTCCAGTCTTGTTATAATAGGCATTGAAATGTGGAGATGGTGGAGTAACTGACCGAGTTACACATGACGCTTAGCTACATTCAGTATCTTATTTGGTTGGAATCTTGTTTTGGAATGTCTTCATACATGCGTAAGTGCAGTATTTAGATTAGTCCGGTTTTAAATCATTTTTATCAGTAAAACACATTTTCCGTGTAGTGCGCAACTTTCACTACTCTGAATTATTGTCTTGTTCTTTTCAAAACTTTCCCTCTGAGACTAGACGCTGTTAAGGCGGTAAACATGTCTGGGTTGTGACGCCAACATTTCGGAGAAACGCATTACCACTTCTACTCCGAAGATGGAGGAGACAATGTCCATAGATTGAGAGTTGGCGAGGCAGTTGTGATGTAGGAACAGGTGGTGTTCTACTATAATTTTCCTATAACATCATTTTGTCATGCTAATGCCATACAAGTATCAGGTCTATATTCGCAATTTGTTAATTGCAGTGTTCACAAACCCAGTAATACCACTGGTAACATGACGTCATCAGATCTCATTAGGACTTCGTTCACAAGGAAAATTAATGGACATTATTAATCCTTTAAGGCCCACATACATGAAAGATCACGAACTATGCATTTTACCCATAAAGTTATTTATGAGTTTCCAGAGAAAATAACTATTATTTCCTTAAACAGAATTAACTAATTATTAATCGACTAATCTTTGTAATGGTGAACTGTTGTGTTTTCTTTGAGGTAGGAAATGAATGTTTAAATATTCGGATTATCTTCGATTTCAAATTTACAATTCGAAATAATATGAAATACATTTGTTTTGCTCCAGTAAGAAATTATATCAGTAAAAAATGTTTGCCGTACATCGGAATAAAGTGATCCCGTAGAAACGTCAGTTTCAGGAGTGGTACTTATCACTAGATAGGACACGAATAACAAAATAATCATGTCACTGTAACCACTATCATCAACTTACTGAAGGTTTTGGAATTCCAAACTCCAGCGTTTTGCCTTTAGCAGGCAGTCCAGCACAAAATGCCTCATATCGAGTATAGCCGAAGGGAAGTCCCAGAGTTATCCACAGTATTATGTATGACACACAATAAAGCAATGTCTGATACAACTATAGAAATGGACTATTATGACGCACAAACTCGCATCGCTCAAAGTACGCGTCATTCTGGGTTTGGTTCCTTTACAGAGTACATGATGTTAAAACAGTGATGTTTCATTCCGTGATTTTTTTGTCACAAAACTTTATTTTTGGACAAATTCCACTGTGTAATATTTATGAAACCTTGTATACGGAGGATTTTAACGAGAGGGTAATATGGAGGAACACCTTAGTTCATACACTTAACTGAATTTCATTAAGGCGGTCGTATCAAACACAAAAATTAGTGTTGATTGTGTTTCACGCACAACAGAAAAGCGAGCCAAGTTTTAAAAGGGAAATCTGAATAGAAGATTCCACTTGAAATAACTAGGCATAGATGGAATGATAATATTGAAAAGAATTAATAGAAAATGTCATTGCAATTTCAACGGGGAATGGTTTTATTATTTTATTTCATTCTCCCAAACTCCTGTTCGTATGTATTTTCGTACCTTATCTTCCTTTCCCCCTCCCTGTACTACGTAACTACCCTACGTGCTACATTCCACATTATTCTGCAATAATATGAAGATATATACTGCTCACTGGGAGCGCAAGCAAAGCTTTTATGTAATTCAGATATCTGTAATTCTACAAGACGTCACACCCAGAAAAACAACACCGATAATAGATTACTTGCTTTTAGGAATGTAATTTCTGTATTTTGTAAATAGCTCTTGGTCTCTTAACGTTATTTATGTAAGTACCTTCCTCAAAGACGACTTTTCACATATGTTCAGTTGTTATTTGATACCAGGTTGTTAGACATCGTTTTTGCAGTCATGTAGAACAACAAACGATATTTTATGTTGTTCTTATTCTTCTTTATTCGTCTACTAATACGTTCTTGAGGGCTGATCAGAAATACGGATTCCTGCACGGGAGCTAGCTTCAGATGAGGGGTACAGCGTGTGACGTCATGATGAACTCTGTCGCTACCAGTGCTTTGTTTCTTTCAAATTTGCGTCTGAAAACTCTATCTTCAAATTACTAATGCTGGGAACGAACCAAAACGAAAAAGTACTTATACCATCAAACTTACGACTATAGTAATGCTTCGTGATTACTGACAAGGGGTATATATAGAGTGAAAAACTTTAATTAACGCTAGAGTTTATAAAACTGAGTTTATTTGTGCTGTTGTATGGTTGTGTAATGGTTGCTCGTGGATGTGTTGAAGGTCAGTGAAAAGAGTTAACAGAAACAGTTCACAACGCATTTCAAAAACTCCGGTTGTAAAAGAGGAGAGACAAGAGGTCATGCTTCACGTATAAACCATTTATTGCCGGAAACAGTGTTTGCAATATATCGCACAGTTTTGAATTTATTCTAAAGTAGCATTTCACAAATTACATAACTAAACCCGATGCCGTATGTAGCAGGTGTAGAGTAATTTAAAGTGACGTGTAGACTCAAAAAATTTTAACAGAAAAACGTAGCAGCGATCGTATTAAAAGAAATTGTAGGATATAAATTGTAGCCTAATTTTTCCAACATAGACGTCGTATATTTCTCATTTCTGTATATTTTTAATCTTAAGTTGGTTGTCTTCTGGGTTGTAGCGCCGTGAAGTCTGATAGAAGTTTACCAGCGTTTTAGAGGTTCTTACTCCGTCAATCATCAGGGCTCATCGGCCTACCAGACTACAAGGCGCTACAACCCAGAAGACAGACATCTTCGTACCCACAGCCGTGAGAACTTCAGTTCCTCCTATTTTTAATATTGTATTTATACTAATAAATTTCCCCTCAAGAATGGCATGAAAATCTGCAGCAGCAAAACACACATAGTCATAAATGTTATTCCATATTGCTCAAAATCCCTTGACAGTATTACCATAGCAACGACCATGGCATTATAAATATTGTACCATAAGGACCAGAATCCCTTAACAGCTAATGATCACCAACTAAACAATCTACTAACAATTGTTTGTTATAGACTATAGATAGATTAAATTTCATGAACAGTATTATAAGAATCTCGAAAATCAACAAAACGCAAATTCATGAGCATGCATTGAAGTTAGTCGCTGGAGTGTGATCCAGACAGTTAAACCAGACGAAAAACATGACATACGTGTGTTACATTGGTAGTGACACCTGATTGGCGTAGCAGCCAGCACTTGCTACAAATATTGTTAAAATATTACATATGTACACGACCTTTGTACATTGATCTGTGCGTTGAATACGTGTAAGTCAATAAGTATATGAAAATAGCGAGTTTCATTGCTACTGTCTTTTTTTCTAGTATTGATCATATTGCAGAGTACAGAAAATATTTATTTATTTCAGAATATCTTATTTTTAT